GCTTTCAATACATAACACTACAAACACACCGTGTGAAGAAGACTATTTCGGCAGATGCCTGGTTTCCTCTTATGTCTTTGAATGACCATCTCTCATGATCACGAAACAGAGAAGAGAATGACTGTTAATTGCTCGTATGAATGACTAGCGAAAACCTCTGCAACTTTCTCTGCATAGACAATGTTTCTCTATTGTGCACACATAATAATTGAATCAGACGTCTGGTAGTTTCAAAACGAAAGGCGTGACTAAAGGATAGAAGCTATAAGCCACATTGTGAAGAGCGGAGGTTTTGACCTGCTGGCCAGAGGATTCTAACTCAGTCTGGACGTGGATTTCGCCTTGACTGCTGCAACAATTCCAAAAATGTATAAATCGCTTTCGTTTCACATGGTATATGCAGTAGTTCTGTATAATAGTTTTGTGCAAGCATGCAGGCGAAACATCTCAAATATTGGTTGGCGATTGGTATAATGAAACACGTTTTCCAGTACTAGAATAAGCAGGAGACTGATTCATACTTGACCAAGTGTAAGTTCTTTTCAGATGGATGCATGAGGGATACAACATTAGTTAACTCGTTTCCGGAGAAAATTCTGATGAAACCAGCAGGTAAGGTGATGAAACGTTCAACAGGAAACTGCAAAGCTTAGAGAACCTCAAAACGTTGTTACCCTCATCCTCGGTTATCAATCTTCTACATTTTATCAGAAAGTTGATTTTAACAAAATGATTTTAGACAGCACATTTACAATTGTCCTAGACATTTGAAGTAACACACAAAATGTTTTCACTGGAGATAGAAAATGTTTGTAATCATTTTTAGCTCATTACCAACTATTTTCATGAAAGCTAAATGTGCTGTGTTTACCGCATGAGAATTGGTTTTACTTTTACCAAATTTTCCAACGCCTAATAAAGTTGCTTACATCTACTTATTCATCAGTAATTTTCTAATGGTTCTAATCTTCTTAATACTTAGCTATTTCCAGAACCAATAGATTTTTGCCCTTTTGAATATTTTTGTTTATTACTACGTAGTTAAAATACAATCAAATTATTTTCCTAAGATACAGTACGTATCAACCTAATATATTTAAAATAATTTAACTTTGCATTGAGTTGACCATTGATAACCTATGCATCAAACACGAAGATTAACTTAAGTAGACACAAGTTTTGACAGCAAAACTTCTAAGCGTCAACAAACAGACAGAATGAAAGGTATTCAGAAAAACTATGAATGTATTCCAGGCAATGCATATGCAATGCACTGTATGAAATAACCTGTTTAATTTATGAACCAGACTATGAGCCTTATTTGGAGTGTAAGGGCTTGTGATATTTCAAGGTTCCCTATTCTAAAGTAGGTGATGTGGTACTAGAATCATCGATTCATTGGCTAAAAACCAAGTGATTAAGTCAATGAGCCTCGTGTCTTTTAAATATGCAATGAATTGCTATAATTTACTTCAGCTCAGAGAGGAAGAAATAATTTTCTGAAAACTCCCTAGCTGATTCAATGTTACATCATTTCTGCTTCAGGAATCGATAATATTTTTGACTTAATTGGAAAATGGAATGAAAGTACTTTCTAATTAGCGTGCCAGTTAACACCCGCTGATAGGATTAACTCCGTTTGTACTTGAATACTTATATATTAACTGAACGTCCAAAGTGCCTAAAATTCTATGCAGTTTTGTGTGGTTTTATTGATTTCGCAACAACCTTCCACTAAAAAACCTAAGTTAATTAGATTTAGCACCATTCTTTTTAAATTTTATATTTATATATGTTTGAATTACTACTAAACTTTTTGTTGATCAAAGTTCTAACATTTTCTCGCAATTTTCACCTAATTTCTACTGAGTGTAAATTTTCAGTAGTCTGCACTACCTAATTATAATTGAAACTGCTACAGATAACATACGGCAAGTAATAATAATTGTTAGATTTTTCAAGGACGAATGTTAGGGAACGTTTTGAGACTGAATGAAACTAATATATTCTCACTAACAAAGGGCTGTGGCTTAGCGGTAATGATTGCTACTCTCTATGTGTGCATAGTCTGCTTAGGAAATTCAAATAAGTGTTGGGATCCATTTATATATTTTAAACCTAGTTAGAAGTAATGAAATATAACTATGCAAGATGCGCTGATTAGTCGGTTAACGTAGACAAACTGTTTGCCATGGACGTGGCCTTCAGATACTTAACTGTTTATGTTTTACTGAGAGACACCAAGTTCATAAACATTTAGTTGGACTGATACAGTAAATATGTTTATGCCTGAACTCACAAGTTGAAATAGGATCAATTTGAATATACACTAAATTTAATAGAACTTAGCCCTGTTAAATACACTGCCTAACTTGACCATGTTATTTATCAAGCTAAGTAAACTCCAGAAAATAGGAATTCACAAAAGATAGAAACATTTCAGGTTGTGAATAATAGAATAAATAAAGAAGCAGTGATGAATAGGATTTTGCAGAAGAAACTGAGTGGGCCTATCCATGAGATGTGACCGAGTCAAATTTATTGTATTCATGATAAATTATCACGGATTTTGAGTGTCATAAAACTTTAGAAATGATTTTAAAGGCATTACGTATTTTCAAAGCTAAAAATCAAACATATAGAACCTTTTCTTTACTGAACAGTACTAAACCTTGGCACAAATGCATGATTTTTGAAAATACGCAATTACATAGAAATTCTTGAGTTATTTGGCGTATCTAAGATCAATAAGCACTCGTTTTATCTGATTATTGTATGTTGATAGCTAACCAAAAATGTTTCGGCCTTGTGAGGCTTAAAATATTCATCTGGTTTACAATAACTCAAATCATAGTTTGACACAGCAGAACACTTCGTAACCACTTAAATAACTTGTGTATTCAACGCAAAATAACATCAGGCTGCAAGTGATTCTCAAGCTCCAGTGAAGTTACTTTTTTCAGTCACTTTACATAGAATTGAAAATTTTCGCATCATTTTGATTCAAACATTAGCTCAATTTCATGTACTAAAAACTTTAAATCGCCCCCAGTCATATGGGTGTTTGCTTTTTACCTGACAAATGTTTATTTATGCATTTTAAAACCAATCATTCACTGTCAACTGCGCCATAACAAGCAACTATATAATTATTTGGGTCGTTAATAAGCATTTGTTTAGTTGAGGAAGTCCAAAGGGTTGGCTCCAGGATACATATCTCATTGAAACCAAGAGTTTGAAAGAAATAGAGGTTGTTCACTGAGAAATGTTTCATGGTCATTTTGAAAATATAAAACCTTACTAGGAAGTTGAATTTCGAAAATTGTTTTCCTCCAGTGGCATCCCTCTACACTTCTGATGGACAGTGTATCTAATACCCTCTTGGCTCTTTACTAATCGACTGTTATTACTACTTGTGCTTTTTTACGTTGCACTGCATAATTCTGATTCATGTTTTCACCAAAAGTGAGTTGAATAAATATGAACTACACTGAGTTTCAACTTTATCGAGCCTATATGGCTCAGAATATCTAGATTTCATGCTGTTCACAGTTATCTGATTTTTTACAGATTATTCTTACTTACCATTGATTTGGCTTGATTTGGTCATTATGTGGCTTTGCTTACCTCCAAATCACAAAAAACGTAAAACAGAATAAGAGGAGAATAATGTGATTCAAGTTTTTAAAAGTCTATTTTGTTTCGGCTAGATTTTTGTTGAATTTAGGGGTTTATGGGGATTCAGAGATATTTTTTATTGTCACTTTGGTAGTCATACTTTGCAGGAACTTATTTTTGTTGTCTGAATTCGAAATCTTTGTGTGCATATTTATTTGCCTTACGTAAGGTTTGATATATATAGAGAACGAATTCACCTTACGTTTTCGGTGAACGTCAAAAGAGATTAAATGTAAGGGATATAAAGACAAACACAATCATATTACTTGTGCACTTCGCAACTTCAGTTGAACGAATGCATGGTGTTGCATGCCGTTACACCAGCGTTGATATTAAGATATATTAAAACAATACAAACTTAGTTTCTGAATGAAGACACTTAAAATTATGAGGTGTTACACAAAAATCTGATGAAGAATAACAATTGTAAATTTTAAGATATCTGTTTATTTTCCAGAAAAGCTAGTGTAAACTTTCAACAGCTACTTATACTCAGAATATCATCCAGTAATTTGCTACTAACTTTAACCTCTTCAGATCATCCAACTATGTACCCATAGCCAGAGAAGTAACATAACCAGTAAATGCCGACAGATATGTTTTCAAAAATTTGATCCAAAATGAATTATTAGGCGACTTCCTGCATGAGTTTGAATGACAGCGTCAAAGTAATATGTCTATGCAATCCAGTACAGAAGAAATATGTTGGCGATGGTCTTTTGCAGGTTAAGAGATTATCAACACTACGTAATACAGGGACACTTTGTCGGAAATCTCCGGTAATAATTGTAATAGTAAACCTATGCAATCAATTTCATGTTGGTTGCACTCCCGTGACCAATCAGTACATGTGAGCCAGTTCTACAGGAGGTCAGTCGCCGCCTGAATAGCTCAGTGGTAAAGTCGCTGACTACAACACTGGTTGACGCGGGTTCAAATCTCAGGCAGAACATCAATTCCATCGAGGTTGCAGATAAGCCTTGCTGACAAGTGCCAAAAAGCACGAAACCTAGGTCCAGGGCTTCCTGCCGATTGCCTGCAACCAACTAACAGCTTTGATTAATAATTTTGAATAAATTCCGTTAAAAGTGAATATAAGTTTTTGCTCATTAAACAAGATAAGCAGTTAATTATGACTTTACATGAGGAAAGTAGAGTGCAGGGTTCAATATTAATTTCTTCTTTTTGATATGCAGTGATACCCAGTGAAACAGTATAATTTAGTGAACAGCTTTTTCAGCACTTATAATCATATCTTAATTTAATACTTTTTAATTCTTCACTTACAAAACGCTCATTAAAATCATACTGTTTTTCACTAGCATGCTCAAAACTTTGTCCAAAGATAAACAATCAAACGTATTGTTGGGGTTCATCTTCACTACAGTGCCAGCATCGTGAGTCATTTTCTTGTTTATTTTGTGAACAATTTTTACAAAGTCAAGAGCATGTGGAGTGGGCGTTTATTGCTCATAAACACTGTGTAATAGTCATACATAATGCACCTTTATTTTAAAAAATGTCATGTTTTTAGAATCAAATTAGCTCATCAGCAAATCAAAAGCGTAAGTATGTAGGAAATTGATTCATTTTGGCTGATCACTGAAATTATCACACAGCAACAATCAACATTTTAATCTTGGAGATAACAGTCAATTAAAGAGCAGTCAAATATTCAAAGGAACTTAAATTTGCATCACTTAGAGGCATAGTCAGAGAGGTATAATTATATGACGGTGTAGGAGCATATGACGTCAGTCAAAGTGCACCATCATATTGAATCACGTTGATTGTCAGGTGAATGCAATCGGTGCTCAGGACTAGGTAGCATGATATCAGCTTATATCAAGTGGTTAATCACAAATCCACACTGATTGGAATGAGCAGATCGGCAGTTCAGGGTGACATTATTTGAAATGAAAATGATTGTTCGTCATAGTGACAGTAAAGGATTTTTCTTCTATCAAGAATTGACCGAATTCGCCGATGCAAAGTCCATAATAAATTACTGAAAGTTCACGCCTTAAAAGTAAATTATACATAAGACAAAACTTGAGTTATGTCGAACTTATTAAAAGAGGCTTGAGGGAGTTAATATAAATAAATTAGATTAGTATTGTGCATTCGCCTGTAGGGAATCTTTCAAAGATGTTAACATGCAACGAAAAATATCTACTACATTATCTTCACTAAAACGTTAACGCTTAGCATGCAAACGTTTGCAAAATGCATTAAAGGAAGTAAACTGTCTTTCAAAGCTTAAAATAACGTTTCTCATTTTGAAAACTTCAACATACGAGTTAGCACTCCTATATGTTTAATTTTGAACTATTCAAATGTTTGATAATTGCTTTTATCAGCATGAAATATTTGAAACGATATTCAGTTAAATCACAGCTTTATAACGATTTTATCTTCTTTTTACTAAGAATCAAAATGCCAAAATTTATTGTGTAATCGATGCCTAAAGAATGGGAGCTCATACGTATGTTGTCATGAACAGTGTCTTGGTGGGTGCACTGGTCCGTTGGCTTCACAATGCATGGTATGTTTTTCTTTCCTTTTACCATTCAACACTAGAAGTTGCTTTAAAAACCTTATTCTGTGACTATCAAAACAGGACCTTAAGATAATTAGACCTAAAAGTATTTTATTCTGTAGATAAGTAACAGTATGTTACTAAAGTATGATGATACCAACTGCCAACACTTATCTTGGTCCGATTCTTCGTATAAAAAACTGTACTCTGAATATTTTTCACTCTCATAAGTTAACATAAGCGCCAAAACTCAGTATTAAAAGGTGAATTTCTCAAGTAAATAGCTATCATTGTAATTTTTCGGAAATATTTCGGTTTTGTCCACCAGATGACAGTTGTATTCCTCATCAAGAAATATGTTTATTTGAGCTTTCTGAACGCTTAAAATACTAAGTTGACCGTTAGTTTAACGTTTTTGAGCGTCAATGATTTCAGTAAACTCTCTAACTACCTTAATCCGCAAATGATGTATATATTGTTCAGTCGGAAAAGAGCGGTGAGGACGGAAACGTTGCGATTTTGCAACATCAAAAAACTCTTGAAATGAAATCTATTCAACTAGGAACAGTTTTTCAAAAATTTGATAGTTTCAGGCCAAAATGCTTTTCATCTAATGACATAACTTTACTTGCGTAGGCATAAATTATGGAAATGTCAAGTTAGTATTTTTTGAGTATTATAAATATGCATATGTTAAGAGAGAATGACTTTATTTCTCAAATAACTTACCTTCGTTCTTTATATTTTAGTTTTAACTTAAAAAATCCACTGAATATGTATAAGAGTTTATTCCTTTTCCTTTTTCTATTTGAATCACAAAGACTGATCAATATTGTTTTTGCATGTTCATCCAACTAATCATTCTTAAACATAGACTATATTCCAGTCATTTTTGTTGTTGAAACAAGTAGTTGGTGATTGAAACAGTAAGTTATGAAACTTTAATCTAAGCCATGCAACAACAGAGTATACGATTTTGTCACGCTTGAAGTTACTTTTGAAACTTTGATCATTCCCACCATTCGGGCAACAAATAAGCGAAGAAATTTTGTCGAAGAGGGAAAAGCATGACCATGACAATACTCACTTTAGTTTTTGAAGTTGTAAATTTCTATTTCATTTTGAATTCATACATCCCAAAAAAACCATTGGAAGCTTTTTTTCATTTTACATCCGATTCATTTTTTTTAAAATATAAGTAATATCACGCTTTCATTCTCGTTACTGAAAAATAATGTGTCCTGAGGAGTAAGAGATACGTTGTGATTAAGTGCTTCATATCTGCTTTTGTTATTTGCCCAAAATCTTGTTGACTTCTGGAAACGAATTTTTGAAAAAGGCGACTAAATATGGAAATTCAACCATTCTTAGACATGATAATCTGATTGTGTGAATTCTTCTGTGCCAAACATCCAGTATCGCAGACTGCATTGTGGTTTACTATTTAGCGTATACTGACGTTTATAGATTCATCATAAATCTTCCTTACTTGAAGTATTTCGAAAAGGAATCACAATGACATGATTATGAGCAATCATCTGTTTAAATAATACTTTATTTCTGTGTACTGTGAATCAAATAAACAAATCTAATATGGGAGTACATTTGACCACAATGCCCAAGGTTAGGACTTATAAAAAGCAATTTGGTTTCGGACTCGACTTATTTATTTGACCGGGACTTTGAATGAATCGTCTCATCAACCTATAGCTGCCTCAAGCAGTCTCATCAATGAGGACTGTAACTACTTCGTTTTTAACTTAAGGGATAAATTGTTACCTGAACACTGATTTACTCACCACAGTACAAAACGCATTCAGAATCTTTCATACATTTTACCTTAACCATTGTTGGAAAAAAAAGCTGATCTTGTTGACACTCCACTTGTAATACTCAAATGCTACTGATTAGAAAACCTCTTCTAATAAGAAACTTTAGACTTATACAAAAATGAGGCAATCTTTACTACTTGTTACTACTATCTGAATAGCATACAAATTAGTCGGAACATTATTAAGGTGATTCAATTATTATATATTTATCACCTGACCTTAGACCCATCACAGTACTCAGCACTACATTTTGAAGCTGTGTAGACCGTAGTGAACGCTACAACTTTGCATTTTATAATTAACCAACTGGTAAATAATTTAACCGAAGAAAATACTACTTGCAAAATACTGGTTGTTAGAAATCTAGCTTGTTCACTTCAGTGAAGACAAATTTATGAAGCTGTATTTTGCTGTCAGCAGACTGAAATCAAATGTTTCATTCTTATCTAAATAAGGTTTTCTTGGTTATCACTGACTTGTCAAGTAGAGCTGATACACTGTCTTAATAAATGATGGACGTTAACGAAATGAACCAGTACTGAAAGACCGTACATAGATTGAATTTGCAAACGAGTTACTTTGAATTCGTTCATTTCAACTTGACAATCTTAACACTGATAAGATTCAAATCTTAAATCCGTAAGCCTTCACTTAAAAATTATTCCAATGCTAAGTGATTAATTATACATGCTTCCAATGGAGTGCAAAGAGTTCTTAATTATTCCATATTACATTTGTTTGTTTTTTTGATTCATAACACACAGTGATATAGTATTATTTGCTTGATGACGTTTCGAACAAATAATACCATATTACTGTGTGTTATCAATCAAAAAAAACAAATCTAATATGGGATTAAATCCTACCGCAGTGCCCAAGTTTTACACCTATATTAATTCTTAATCATATTTTCATATATTCCCAACTCAGAGAAATAAATTTACCAGGTGTATATTGAGATGAATAACAAGGTAATGGTAATAGAAATAGGGTCAATTAGGCGAACCAAACCAGGGAAGGAAAATAAAATATCAGATGGGTGATAACTAAAAGCAGGTAAGAAAAATTAAATATGGTCTCAATGTACACCTCGTTTTCTTATTATGTCTGCATAAGTATTATTGACTAACATCATGTTTTTCAGATAAACTACGTCTTCTAATTATTATTATTATTATTATTAGTCTTTTGGGTTCCTAGTGGAACATAGGGCTTCACTAGCACGTCTCCAGTGACCTCTGTTCTCTGAGATCTTATGAACCTGGTTCCATGACAGCCCACAACCTCTCATTTCCACCTCGCACGATCTCCTCCATGTCACCCTCGGACGTCCAACTCGTCGCTTCCCATGGGGATTCCACTCGAGGGCCTGACGCGTGATGCCCCCAGTCGGCCTTCTCAGTGTATGCCCAATCCATCTCCACTTCCTCCTGCATATTTGCTGCGTGATAGGTTCTTGGTTGGTTCGTTCCCAGAGTTCCTTGTTGCTTATTCTTTCTGGCCATCTGATCTTCAGTAACGAGCGTAAGCAGTTGTTGATGAATGTCTGTAGTTTATTGGAAATCCCTTTCGTGACGCGCCAAGTCTCTGAGCCATACAGAAGAACTGACTTGACGTCTTCTAATTACATTATCCAAATTCATAAAAGGGACTAGTTGTTGCATATTGTTGACTACGTTGTTTTCAGTGACGTAATCGACGCTCAATCAATTCAGTTCTCACCCCTGTGTCAACATTATCATCGTTATTATAGTTATTTTCCTACCTGAAATCCACTATTATTCAAAATCAATTAACCTATCCCCAACGCATTCAATGTTGAACATCCATTTCTACCTTTGCATTAACATTTGACCCGTAAAAACTGCTCATTTCTGTGTTGTTAGGCCTAAATCTGTCTCAGTCTACCTTTTTATATGCATGTTCTTTTCCATTGTTAAGTGGTAAATATAATCAAGTATGTAGAATATCCAGCTGATGAGTACCACTGAAATTTATGAACTAATGAAACCATGCTTTTTCACATTCGTTGCACATTCGTAGGAAGGAAAGGCACCTGCCGACCGTTGGGAGGAAGCGTTACCTTGTCAAACTTCCAGGAAAGGGAGACCTAAGTCTTCGCAATAAATGGCAAGGAATCATTCTGCTATCCATCCCAAGCAAAATATTATGCCGCATCATCCTGGAGAGACTAAAATATGCGTTGGATTCAAAATCACGACCGGAACAGGCTAGCTGGCTAGCTGGCTGAATTCAGGAAGTACAAATCATATGCGGATCAAATTGCAACGCTATGCATCATCATAGAACAGAGCATAGAATGGCAGTCAAATCTCTACCTCAACCTCATCGATTTTGTAAAGGACTTCTTTTGACAGCGTCGACCGGCAAGTAATGTGACAAGCAGTTACTTCGACACTGTGGTTTCAGTGCCACAAACCTTCATCAACCACACTCGACAACTATATGAAGACATCACACGCCAAAATAGCCTCAGTGGAAAGCTCAGTGAAGCCTTTAAAGTAAAGACAGGAGTAAGACAAGGCTGCCGCCAACTATGACCGATGATCCTTCAGATTATGATGGACAGGATAGTGAAGCAAACCGAAAGGGACGGAGAAGAGGGTCATACGCTGACTGGACCGATGAAAGGATCCTTGGTGAAGATTTGGATTTCCCGCTGATCATTTATGTCTAATGTCTAGTCACACAAACTAGAAGATCTACAGGCGAAAACTAACAAGTTAATAGAAGAGGCACGGCAACGAAAACAGGAGTTCAGGTGAACGTAGACAAGACAGAGAAGATAAAGATACCCAACCAACAACAGCATCAACAACAAGCACCAGTCACCATTAACGGACAAACCTAAAGGAAGTTGTCTCTTTCACCTACCTGCCTACCCAGCATCGTTTCAATTACAGGCGGCACAAACGAGGATGTCAAAAGGAGGATCAGAAAGACATCAAGACAGGCCTTCATTAAACTGAAGTAATCAGTGTGGAGATCTACTGAACTGCACTGCACTGCACTTCACTGCACTGCACTGCACTGCACTCAACATGAAGCGTGAGCAACATCCGGATTTTCAACACTAATTCAGTCAAGCAAGTCAGTGCTTCTATGTGATGGTTCAGAGAGTTGGCGTGTTACGAAAAGCACTCCCAACAAACTGCAGCCATACATCGACAGCTTCCGCCTACGCTCACTCGATACTGAAGATCGGAACACATCAGATCAGATCAGATGAGATCAGATCAAATTAGATGGCGAGGATAATAAGAATAAGCAACAAGGAACTCACTATGGCTGGCAACGAACCAACCAACCAACAACCTGTCACCCAACAAATATGCAGAAGAAGGTGAAGATGAGTCGGATTGGATTGGATTGGATTGGTTATCGACTGAGTAGACCATTTGGGGACATCATGCGTCAGGTCAGTCGCTCGAGTGGGAGCCGGATGGGAAACGACGAGTTGGGCGTCCGTGGATGACATGGAGGAGATCGTGTGTGTGGAAGGGATGAAAGCTGGCTTATGTGGGGTTGTGGAACCAGGTTGAAGAGACTGCAGAGAAGAGAGTGAAATGGTGACGTGCTACTGAAGCCCTCTGTTCCACTAGGAAATCAAGGGACAAATAATAATAAATTTATATATATATATATATATATATATATATATATATATATAGCACACAAAATTAGTCGAAACACTTTTAAGGTGGTTCAATTATTACGTATTTGTCACCTAACACTACATTTTGAAGCTGTGTGGACCATAGGAATGCTAGTAAGGAAAACTGTAACCGAGCACAGAAAAATAGTTACGTAACACCGTTTTAGACAATGGAAATAAGGTAAGAGGTAAAGAGTTGACAAGCTGAATACCATCTTTATATGTTAAATGTTAACTGGTTGAGTTTCCAATTGTTAGATTTAAAGAAGGTGAAGAAAGAAACAAGAGTCGTTATGAAGGTGACATTGATAAACCGACCAGATTTTCATCTAACCTTCAGCCGTTACCCAATAAAAATACTAGTCTGCCAAACTACGCCAGGCAGTCAAATGATAATTATAATGAAAGAAAAAGTATATGGGAGTGTCAAGCTCATGTTAACACAAGTGACTGGATATGTCTTCTGCATGCAGAGATCAGGCTTGAACAGGTGAATAGCCAGTGCTTCTTCTGTGCATAACTGTCAAAGGCGTACTCCTTTTGAACTCTTCCCCTTGACTCTGCAAATGACACTAAATGAGGACTTTGGTGGAGCTTTTTGTTTAGAGTTGACTAAATGTTCCATGAGTGGACTGGTAATTGCTTTACATTTTCCTGTGGACGACCATATGAAATAGTGCTCAAAAATACGTTTACAAAGTGTGCACTTAGTGTGGCCTTTATTCTGCATGGTTGTCGAAGGAAGAATGTAAATCAATTAACAGTTCGACTTGCTGTGAGAAATCTTACCGAAGTAAATATTTCACATTTTACTGCTACTACAGAAAAAAATAAGTGACTCTACGCGGTGCACTTACGTCGATTCTACACAACTTTCGTTTGATCTTTTATGTATTTATTTTAAATCGTCAAAATGCAGTCAGTCAACGATAAAGAAAAGGCTTCTAAATATTTAATGTAAATTTGCCTGCAAAAAAGTGACAAATTTTTTAACGAGAATCTTTCCTATTTTGATTTACAACACACTTTATTATGACTTACTAGGATACTACCATTGATAATTTCATAAAGTCATTAAAGTCATGAATGAAAATAATGCAACAGTCCGAAGTGCCAGAAGTGAAGAAAGTAGTGGTGAAAAAAGGATGGTGAATATATTGCGTAAAACGTTGAACAAAAGTAGTAAAGTACTGCACGTTTGCACCGAAGTTCAGATTTGATACAAATGTATAAGATAAGATAAGAGAGTTCTGACAAGAAATACAATAAAGAGTGCGATAGCTACAGCAATGTGACTAAAATAAGAGATCAGACTTTATTTATATTACTACTGGTTTAAACTTGTCCTAAGTTTCTCTACATGTTACATGTGGACAATTTAGAATACGAAATAAGTGGACTGCTCAGAAGAAAACAACAGGACTTCTTGGTCATGTTGTCGTCTGAAGATATAAAATATGCATTGTATTCCAAGATCCAAACGGCATACACTAATATTCTTTGGTAAAGCTTTCTGTAAAGTCATCTCAAAGTACTTTTCATATTAAAACTGATTTACAGGTTATTAAAATAATTGTTATTGGAAAGCTAACTGAAAGTATTCAATGAACCACATGACGGAATAACTACTGCATCATGACATGTCTAATACACCGAAAGAAAAATCATTCATATAAAGAGCTAAGTAATTAGATTGAAATGTTTGTTCGCAAATTAAAAAGACACTAGCCAGATGTATGAATGTGGAAACATGTAAAGCAAGGGAAGAAAATCAGCTATATGTAGCAACTGTTTAAGTAGAAGTGTACATCTTATATATAACACTAACAGAAGTTTAATGTCCAGCTGCGATTCTTCTACTTTATAATTTTATATTCGAAACAGCATTTACATAGTTGTTCGGATCAAAATACATAGATTAACTTTTGTTTATTCATAGTTGTTTGAATAAGGCTGAGTTCTACCTTTCGAGTACAAAAGCGTTAGATCAATCATAAAAAAACGTTTCACCTTACAATTCTAACCATTTGCTGTCATTCTCCACGTGTTTACTACCTTTTAATTACTGACAGATTACCTAACCCTTCATCCCTGTTTTGCATATTTTTTTGTGTGAGAGGTGGGTCATAGTGAATGCTAGTGCGGAAAACTGGAATCGAGCACAGAAAACAATTACGCAACACTGTTTTCGTGTGCCTAAACTGGAATTTATGTTGAAGTTGAATAACTCATAAAGAAACTTAAGATATTTAGAACTACTGTTAGACTTTTCAACGCAAAAAAAGAGATATCAGCAGATATTTTAAAGTATGCTTCAACTTTATGGTTTGTAGCTCAAAGTTCTGGAGGTTCATATTTCTAAAGTGAATACCAACTGACTACTTTCAAATAAAGAAAAGGCGAGATGGCGTGGAATAGCTAAGAAAATATGCTTTTTGCATACAGTATTTTAGAAGCTGGCTATAAGCATAACAGATGTCTACTTCGTAATTGCTTGCTTCTAAGAAAACCTTACTTCATAAAACCTTGTTAATCTTTTCCTCTAAGTTCCTGTAGTTATAAGTGATTTTTTTTCTTAAATTCTTTTCATATTTTACAGTGCAGAAAATGTCTTTTATAAAATTGTAAAATGACATAGTTTGAATACTTATTTATTTGAGCAGATCCAGTTGAACTGCATCAAATCAAATGATAATCTGATACCGTTGCATGTGAATGTGTGTAGTAAAATATGTGGTATTTATGGCACACTGTGGTGAATCATTATTCACCAACTTTTGAGTATAAAAGTGTAAATGGATATCCAGTTTTTCTGTAAGTACTTTTCACTTTCTGTGGTGTTCAGAATGTAAAGAATAAGAATTCCTAATATTATCTTTTTGTTATAAGTCAGTTAATCTCTTTTTTTGTCGCCAATTTATCACAGAGTTGCAAAAAATATTTTAATTCTGGAACGTGTGTTGCTCACTGTCCTGCTAGAACACTTATTCAGGGCGGGAAATTAATCGTAAATCCTGAATTCAAATACCGTTTAGGAAACTTGTGTTTGCCAGTCTGCCCTGGTAAGTTGAATTTAACGACTCAGTGTTGTCTACTAGAACCACTATCATTCTTACAAACTTATATAATTTCAGAAACACTGTTATCGTTGCTTTACCCATTGATTACGGTTTCTTTTTGATATTTCCTAATATGAAGTATCAAAGGGCATCTGATATTTTAGGAAAGTTGTGGACGGGGAAAACATTTGAAAGCAGCCACTAATCTAAACTTTTAAATCTTTATTTAACTTTTAGTCTGCAATAATTATCGCAGTTAGAAGCACATTAGATTTTGAAATAAACATCACTGCTAAACAACTTCGCTGAAAAAGAACTGTTTGACCTAACGCCAGTAGAATATAGCACTCTAAAAACTACTATTTATTCAGGTAGCCTAAATGTTTCTCTTCCATTTTAATCCCCAAAACGTTCTTGTCTATATTTTGAGTAAAGAAATGCAGTAAAATTATTGATCTGTATCGACAAAGGTTCCTTAAAAAAGTTACAACTACGACCTTTAACCTTATTTTCATATTAGCCCAATTTACTTTAGCTGTTTCTTTTAACCAAAAAATTGCTAGTCACCAACTGCTAGTAGTCTAGAGTTCAAAAACGACTTTGACGTAAATTTCTTGAAATTTTATTATTGCTTACTACGATGAAATTCTGAAAGCAGTACAGCGTAACACTTCAGCGTCAATACTAGGAGCTTAAAACAACCCAGCTACTTTAAGAGATTCCAGATTTTTAGTTCTCACTAGTAGTCATTTTTAGCATAGATGTTAACAGCTTTACTTTTTGAAATGACACAATGGCATACACGTCCCCAATTCAGACGAAAAATTTTATTTGATACTTTCTTTGACGTCTTAAAAATAAATATATCAAATCTTGGTTCATATCTGGGATGTAAAAAATATAATTTCAGTATAAAAAAATCAGCATAAAAACGACTACATATCCACCGTGAATGTTAATGCCATTTTCCGACTGTTTGACTCAGTCGACCTTCATACCAAAAGGAGTAGAAATGTGTTTTAAACAGCAAGGTAAAGTTCCTTTGAAGAGAAAAGGGTTGTTAATGGTTACGAGTGACCGTAGTCATTAGTAGCCCGTTTGCCTAATCCACTATCTAAATGCTTTATGAATATATTATATCTTCAAGAGAATTCAAAATTGAAGCATACTAAGTTTTTTTGTATCTCCCCCTCAGACTAGCGGCTTTCCCACTCAGGATCAGAGGTCTGGATATATTAGTTTCCTAATTTATAATTCATGATTTTGACAACAGCGTTCTGAATAAAATAAATTTGAATATTATCATCGCTTAAGGTAAGGTTTTCACCACACGTCAACAGTTACTGTTGAAAGATATTAAGTCGAGAAGAATCCCACTGACACATCGATGTCCATCAAATCTTAATATATCGGCCATTCTGATATTTGCTAATAAGTTGATTTTTCTGGTAAACAAAATGAAACTCTGCAGTGAAATAAAAATATTCATTATTCACTTAACTTTATCGCTTAGGTTATCTTGCCAATCGATAGCTGCTATCTAGACGTGGTGGTTGGGCTTGAATATCACAATAACTCAGATAAACATACCGACTACACAGCTTATTCCCTTGAGGATTTACCAAGCGAGCGACCTCTGCTGGATAGTGATTGGACAGAAATGAGTTACCGTTATAGTGTAAATTGCTACACTGTGATGAGAGTTGGAGGGTGGTCACATAAATATTTTTCTCTTTCAGGTGATTCAGTAGGAAATGGCCTTCTACGATGTGGGCAGCAAGGAAGTGTCAACTGCTCGTACACTTGCAGTAGTTTGCAAAATCTGATCAAATGTAACCTATATAGTTACCTCTGTCTCCTTCTTTGCCTTCACCTACTACAAGGCTTTAGTTGCCCATCATCTAGCCTCAACTTGATATGGTTGTAGCTGTCAGTACTCTAGCTTTCCTTGAAGTTGAGCAAGTTTTATTGAACCGAAAAAATGCAATATAGCAGGACCTGACAGTTTGTTTTCAAAGATGGAGGCAAGAAGTTGCTGGTTAGGCTGACGGAGGTACTAGGTAGTGTATGAGAGTCAGAAGTAGTGATCATCCCAGTCTATAATAAAGGAAGAGAAGTTAACTATGACAACCATAAGAGAATTAGTTTGAAGAATAATATGTCCAAGATCCTAGGATCCGTAGATATCCGACGCCTAATAGGAGCTCGAAAACGGCAAACTCGGGAGAACCAGACAGGTTTCAGACTTCCACGAGGGTGTATCAACCACAGTTCCAACCTCTGATGGGTTCTGGAACACAGGTGCGATTACTGGAAGTCAACGCTTGCATATTTCTTAATCTGAAGACGTTGTCATCTTATTCTATCGAGTGTGAGGTGTTTTGGAAGTGTCTGATTGTGAAAAGAGTATATAGCAAGGATATAGCGCTCATCAAAGTACTCCACTCGGACTCACGTCGTCGTATAAGGGCTTACGGAGAGTCATCATGTGGAATGACGACAACTAGCAGTGTTCACCAAGCATGCCCAGTAACACTGTTCCTAATTTACTTCGTTGTAGACGCTCTAATGGAAATGACCTTGGGAGCGTCTGACTTAACTGTGTTTGGTCTGGAGGTCATCTGGTCGACTTGGAGTATGCAGACGATACTTCCCTTTTACATGAAGACTCTAAAAAGGTGTAGTGTCTTGTGAGCGCGTTGAGCGGAAATCTGATTAGGTTTGGCATGCGTCTCGTAACTGTCAAACTTAAGGTGATGCTTCAGGACTGGTCTCCAGCTACTCCAAGAGTAATGACAAAGAGTGAAATGGTGGAATGCATCGACCTCTTTACTCACTGGGAGAGTTGAATTAGCTCGAACCAGCCGGTTGCTGAAGAAATTTCAGCTCGAATACAGAAGGTCTGTTTGGCATTTGCCAACTTGCTTTACCTGTAGTGCCAACTGATTAGAAATCCGACTATCCATCAAGGGACAAGGATACTGTGCTGCAGTATGTTCTGTCCTGTTATACGACTGCCAGACATGTCTGCTAAAAGTAGAAGACATGGAACGGTTTCAGGTTTTTGATTACAGGTTTTTTCGTAGCTTTGGTTGCGTTTTGTGGAATCACAGTGTGAGCAAGGTTGAGGTCAGGAGGAGGGTATTAGGCAAGGCAGGCAAGTCGACTGATGGGGCTGTCAAACTCCATAAGCTTGGCTTGCACATGTACTGTGTATCCCGAGTCTCTGTCTACCTTGAAGTGCCATACCAGGAGATGTCGGATTAGAATGGAAAAGTGTTCCGGGTGGTTAGACCAAAAAGTGGCACGGAACGATGAAGTCTCTGACTGTTGATCTGGACCGTGCAGGAAGATGCAGACTACCTGGCTAGAGTCTTCGAGATGATAGGAATTAAAGTTTGAGTGCTGACTTGATGGTATGGCTGAAAATAGGTGACAGTGACCCAGATGAATTCACTCTTTCACGTCTTTTTAAGCTTGAATATGCTCACTATTCAAATTGTTTATTCTCTCGCACAGCTCTACCTACTTTGATATAACCTCTTTCCATCCACTTGTTCTTGTCCCTCACTGTGCAGTGTGACAATTTGAACCAATACACTTGTGTGCGAGGTTCTACGTTGATTTCGTCCTGTATGTCTATCTGAGGTTATACTGATTCGGGTTAATGTGTCTTTAGAGTTTCCTCTGAGAAACATTTTTTATACAACATCGAATTTCGAAATTATTCAATTTTCAGCAGTTTTTACATTGACTAAAATGTTTTCCAGTCATTTTTATATTAACGAAACTCTACTTTGTACTAAACTTTCATGTTTTTTGTTCACCTTTTATTCCTGTTCTTTGTTCTTGGTTCAGAAGGACTTATGGTTGAAGGTGATGTATGCGTGACTCATTGCTCCAAAGGCAGTATGAGTACTGATGGACGTGTATGTATTCCGTGTCAAGACAAATGTCCAAAATGTTAGTCCATTACTTGTTTGCTATTTTTGTTTGGTTGAAATAAACCAAAATCTAGTTTTGATGATTTTGCTAAAAGTCTGATAAACAATGCTCTTGTTCTTTTGTTTATATTCCAATAATCTTACTTGTCATTACACACATCAAAAATTCGAAGGATGTTGGAACTTACCAACAGATGAAACAATAACTTAGCAAGTTAAATTCATAGTATTCATTCACTACGCAACTAATAATCTTCTTTGGAGATCTATTTTAGTATGTATCTAAAGAACTGAATCATCACTATACTGGTTAACACAAATTTCTCACCCAATCAAAGAGACTAATATCAACTTATATTCCATCGAGTTTTTCAAACGGCTTATCTATAGACGTCAATGTTATAATACGGAGGTAATCTCCGCTTGTTTTCAATGCTCATCCTTAAGATAGACCCAGAAAACCATGGAACGTCAAGCATATGCTCTATGTGTTACCAGCCCACTACTATCAGAAAGAAAAACTTGTCTGGAGGTTTCTGTTTTTAAGACTCCAGTACTGTATCATCACATCAAATCATACACAAACTGAGGGACTGCTGCCGTTCTTGTAGGTATTTCAAGTGTATTACTTTATTGAAGAAAGTAGTTTTCACTAGTTAATATCTACATATTAATTTGAAATGGACAATACATTGTGCCTTTAAAGAAATTACTACTGTTTTACTATCTGATTAAATGAGAAATAGAACATGAACACGATCGGAAAGACCATATCACTGTAACTGAAGATTATATTTTATATAGATATCAGAATTAAAATATTTTCCAGGTGGTTGAATTGTGATAGCAGTTGAAACTGCTTGTTTTACCAATACAGGGAAATGTAACTTGTTATTACCTTTGTTGTCCATAACATTATCTCTATTTCCTAGTTCTGTCAGTGTGAAGTAACTTACGTTTAACAGGCAGTTTACTACTTTGAATCCTACCTCCTCCTACCTAAGTAGATTTTCTCACCTACGAACAAAATGAAATAGTTATATTAAATATATCTTTGAATGCCAGTTTGCAATACCGTCTTTTAGCCTTCACTTTATATTTGTTTCTTGTTCGTCAAGCCTGCAGAATTATTGATCTAAAAACAAAAAATAGACGAAAAATGAGTAACTTAGATTTGAGAAATCTGAATAAGTTAATTAACTGCACGATACTGGAGGGTAATTTGATCTTAACAAAGGAGTCGTTCTATCCAAGGTTAGTTACATACCACTTCTCTGAGTTTCTTCTGTCTTTGTTAATTTCATTATATTTGGTTAGTTGTCTTACCTAAAACTAACCTACAGACAAATAAAACTGCCTGTTTTGTAGACAATTTTATGTTATTTAACACATCTAGCTAATTTCTTTTGTTACAGATATACCTATTAGCTTGATACGGCATTGAAAGAAATGCAATGCAATACTGTTTATTTTCATGATCACGTGAAGTGGTGTTTTCATTTTATTACCATCAGCAATAAGAAGAAGTATGCCACATATCTTATTCCGATTTGTTTAGGATAACAGCAAGCGTGAAATAGCAGTCTTAAAGTGCAGAGACTCCAAACTACATAGCAGAAAGAAAATGCTAGCAGTAATCTTTAGTCCTAAACATTTATTTGCTTTACTTATTCCGCTTTACAGCTGTTAGGTGTAAGATGGAACTAGAAGACTGATCTTTAATGACTTCTTGGAGAAAAATAGGGAAGAGAATGTTGAAATGCACTGATCTTAGCATGTTTCACGAGATATATTAGTCTTGAAGGGCAGGCTGATGATGAAATGCCAGCATAGACTAAAGACATCGGAGTCATCTTTGGTAAAGTGAGACTAAAAGCTACTTGTATAAGAATCAGAATGTTGTATGATTGTCTACTCCATTCGGTATAATGGTTACAAGAAAAGAGCACTGATATCGATAGACGTGATATATCAGGTATTTATCAATAGTCACTTTGTAGAATTAACAGTAAGTGGCAGAATTACAATGCAATCATTGGAGGACTTTTTCGAGTTTCAGGCGAGCTTCCGGATCGAATTGTTACAGGGAGAACTATAGACGCATTCAATATTTAATAAATCCTCAGACTCATCCCATGGTATATTGCTAATTTTTGAAGTCCCATTCTAGGTTATTTTAAGCCCAAAATTTAGCAGATACTTTGCAGTGAGCTTAAACAGTAGCTCTCACGACATTTATCTGCAAAGCATTTGCAAAATTTCTTTTCCAAGTAGTAAGATTTTAAAAAAACATAACCCAAGGAAATTTGAAAGGAAACTTTGGGAAAACCTTAAAAAATGTCATTCGCTTTGACCCGTTAAGTTATTTCAATAATAAAGCCTTATCCAAGTAGTGAACATAGAGTCGTTCTCATAAACTCCACTACTTCGTGAGACAAGCGTCTACATACACATGCAGTAACTATACGCCTTCTAAACTACCATAAATACAGGAAACGTATTTCACACTTACCACAAGAAATTAGGTTTGTTTTTAACAGAAATTTATGACAAACCATTTCACCAAGAATTTAAAGCTAGTGATCCCTACATTACATGCATATATTCTCGATTTACATATTTTAATTGCGTGGAAATAAATATCGATTAATTGATGCTTGCTCCAAAGTTAAGTGTTATCTGACTACGATATTTCAATCAAGTGCAAACAACTTCACGGACACTTTAACAACCTTACTAATACAATGATAGAGAGTTTATAAAAGTATGATTAAATCAGTCTGCAAAAATTAGATGTCCATTGTTTATGAGTTGGAAAAGCCATAAGTTAAGTATTTTCAGTTCTTTCTGCAAATAATTAAAAACACTCCGTGGTTTCAAATGGTCTACATTTAACAAATTAATCTGCTCTAAACCCCCTTAGTTTGTATTCTCGATAAGTGGGACGAATATTTCATCTGCAATTTCTGCTTAACACTACTATGTAAATATTTTTTTAAAAACAAAATTAAATATATTTCTCGATATAAACCACCGTCCCATGAAATTACTCAACAAATCAGCGTCATCGTTTAGTCCCAGATCACATCAGCTCATTAATTTAGAATTCAACAAGGTAGAGAAATAAGGGCAAAGAAAGCCATGAAAGCGAACCAGAAGGATGAAGCAGTTGTGAAATTTGATATAACATGTTTAAATTGATCATAAACATAAACATCGAGTGTGAACCATATCACCTTTATAATCCTCAACTATGACTACTTTTCTAGCACCGACCTAATGCGAAAAGATTTTATTTTACCAGACGCCTCCTATGAACAATCAAAAAATTCATGGACTTATGCCATTTTCTACTTTATCCAACTTCACAATTTTTCAACCCAAATCTACTTCATCTGACATTATACGATGAAGTAGACTTTCAATAAACTTGCCATCTGAATTGACGCAGGTTCACAACTTGATCAGTTAGCTCGTCAAATTAACCTAGCCTCTACCCATGATTTCCACATAAGTCACATGGTAACACGACAACACATGGCCTGTGCAACGAAGACGTTGGTTTTTGAACACCTACAGACTCTTCGGGTCCTACACATTTAATGGAGACTTTTCACTGCCATGTTATATAACACAGCTAACTAAAGTACAGTAAATGACGTGCCCAATAGGCTATCAGTTATCACAGTGCGACATATGGAGTATAATTTGATCGAAACCGAGACAAGCCTTTCGTATTGAGGACGAGAGATTTTCTGTCATTTATTCATTGGAGCTTGTCCTACTTCTCAAATAAGTGAACTGGTCAATGTGACCAACTACTTCACACCTTTTTGTCAAATGAAGAATCAGTGTGGACTAGTCTAGGACTAACTATCTTCATTTCAGTAGTGATCAACAATATCCTAACATTTTTAAATTTTCACCCAGGTTATACAGAATACTCTGCATTTTGTCAGGATCTTCACCTGACAAGACCGTGGCATTTGTTTTGACAAGGTCTTCTAATGCATATCTAGTGAATATTTCAATTTCTGCAATGTCCAGCGATGAGAAGAAAACCTCTTTTAGTACGTTTATGACAAAACGAAGTAAAAATTGAAAGAGAACAGAAATGCTTGATAGATTCCACTTGACAAGCACACCTCTTCCTAAGACATATACGGCTGTTCGGGTTCAGAGCCTTCAATATGGTCATCTAATTTTCTGGCATCTAACTCAGTATGAGACAATTCCATAAGATCTGTCGACCGATGGATGCAAAAGCCACCTTCAGTCGTTATTGGGCTGCTGTTAGTGTGTCTTCTCCTGGCATGGCTAAGGGCAAAGATCTGGTTGACACATATACGACTGAACTAGACACTTACCTGCTCTTCTCACGTTTACTGTCTCAGAGCTTCGCTTCGACGTCTAATGAATACAACTCAGAAATTTAAGACACTATATTAACTATGCAAATCAACTTATGGATTCCTTTCCCTCCTTAGAAGCTGGGAAACTCAGTGACGGAAGCCAGTAAAAGGGAATCATAGCTGACGCTAGGTAAAGGATTAGTTATCTTTTCGAATAATTTTCTACAATCGTAAAAAATCTTTCCACTTGTGCCAAATCTGGTTCTACTGCTTTATCTGTTTAACTTTTCCTACATTCTTTTCAAACTCTACAAAAGGTTGGAGTTTAGTGTCAGTCTTCAACCTACGACCCAGCTGGATTTTGGGCAAGTAAATACTAACTGTAGACCAGTCGAAAGATTTCTCAGTGCTCCACCTATCGTTTGATTAATTTTTACACTGCAAGTAAAATGCGAATCCATCCTTATCCCTCATTTTCACACTAACCTTCAACTTCTCTCCCCACTTGCCTTGATAACACGAAATAGCTGCCAAATTTTGGCTGTCACTGCTGCCTTCTTCATCTTTTGCCTTCACTAAGGCTCATCATTTGATGCAAAGTTCACAGACTGAATTATCCAAGTACAAGCTACGTCACTTGAGACGTCTCCGCCACTAAGAAATAGAGAAAGAAATGTATGTGATGAACATCTTTACTTTTATTTTTGATTCATCTTTTACGTGAACCTGACTTAATTGTGTGTAACATAGATCTTTGGTTGTTATACAGATGTACTATTCTTGTATCCCAATCACTGCTTAGTCCTGGTCTAAACTACTGCTGTGGCCTCATTCTGATGACTATATATGAATATTCTTTGGTTTAAAAATAAATCCTCTGAATATCAGGTCTGGTTTCAAAAATACAAACAAAACGCAGGAGTAGTGGAAATTTTACTCAATGAATTTAAGAAGATGGCGCAGACTGCTCGACTCTATCATAATATTTATCCCAAATGCCTACTTTTGGCAAGTTTCTCATATTTTCATGTTCCTGCAATCTAAGCTGAATATTTTAGGATGATTGATTGCACTGTAGAAATAGAAAGATGGAATAGACAGGAAGGATATTACAGGACAAATTAGTAAACAACAATGGTCACTATTTTGTTACTCCTCATGCTAACGACACCACGGAAACATAATGAATCGCAACCAATAACCTTTTTAATATTAAACCTTCTACAGTGAAAATTAAGACCGATACAGTTTCACTGAGAAAATCTTTGTATTGTATGCTCACAAATTGACTGACATTAAGAAACTTTAATTACGGCATGTACGATCCAAGTTACGAAACACTAGACAGCATTTTTCATCTTTGGTGACATTTTGCTAGCAAATACCCATTTAATGCTTATGGCACAAGGTAAAGAATGCACTTAGTTCATTTACCATCATTCATTCCAGCGTCGTTATAGAACAGCATTCCAGCATCAAACAGACTTCGACAGATACAAACCAGTGGTAAAAACACTCAAAAATTTAATAAAAGTATTCGAAAGATTTAGCATCTTTCTATGTCTTTAGCGCACAAGGAATAGAATCGTCAGAATTCAGAAACAAAGTCATTTCCCAAGTATTTCAACAACCTACGTGAAGAGGACAGCTTCATTATCTACTCCAGTGGCAAACATAGTCAGTCAAACCATATAAACAAAACTAACTGCAAGAATGAACGAAGTTGGTTAAGTTCAAGAAAATAGCCTCTGGCGAAAATACATTTCTTCGACTACATTTCTTTCACAGTCAGTAAGACATGAGATCTAGCTAATGGAGACTATGGTCGTAAACTGTGTCGAAATCAGAAAGTTCCCAGATTACTTTTCGATAAAGTTCCGTAATAGATGCAATACAAAGGCACCTATGAATTAGCAAATAAACTTGAAGGACTACCTACTGCGAACTCCAAAGTCAAAAGAAGAGAAAATGGAAATTTAAATACAGGTGTTCATGAGAAACAAACACATTCGAATAGATACTTGGATTTCACTTCGTCTCACCTCATATCTGTCAAGATTGACTTAGTAAAATGACTAGTAAATAACTAATTAATCAGTTTGACTAGTAAGTCAGAAATACACCGAAGAGATAGAAACAATGGAAAACATTTGTGAGGACTTATAAGAGAAGGAGCAATTATGTA